CAGAGCTATAAACTGGAGTGCTGTCTAACATTTACCACTCATTTAGCTATAAATCCAAATAAACTGGACATTACAGAGGACATGAAAATAAAGACCTCTGACCTGGGTTCAAAGGCTTTACATTCTATTAGGAGAGAGACATACAGAAATAACAACACTACTTGATACATGCCACCACAGTTCCTCCTTATATCTGTCCAGTATTTCATCGTTTACAATAGCATATTCCCATCTGCTATCTACAAAAGAGAAGGAATCTGACCAAGAAACCCCAGGCCTAATGGAGAAGCAAGTATTGGAGCTCAGCTTCAGAGAGAGGGCGGAGCTTTGGAGGTGATGACATCATGCTCCACCCTGCGCAGAGGGTGCAGCAGTGTGCATCAGGGCAGGAGGGCAGGAGGCCCGGCCAGGTAAACAGAGCAGACAGTGTACCTGGGACATTCCACTGGAAAACCAGTGACCAGCATTAAGCAATCCTCAGATGATTAAGAATTTTAAAAGTTACAAACAAAGTGATCTAAAGGGACAGGTATGCTGGTAGGCTCTGGTGGGCAAGGTGAGCTGCACAGCCCTAGCCCCCAGATCAATCACCTCCTGATTAGGATAGGTGTGGGGAATGTATTGGGATCAGATTAGAATTTCATGGGCAATCATGTCTACTTTTTCCATTTAAATTGAATTGAACCAGGAATGGTGGCTCATGCCTGTAATCTTAGCATTTTGGGAGGCTGAGGTGGTCGGACTGCTTGAGCCCAGGAGTTTGAGACCAGCTTAGGCAACACGGCAAGACCATGTCTCTATGAAAAATAAAAAAAAGTTAGCTGAGCATGGTGCTGTGTGCTGTAGCCTCAGCTACTAGAGATGCTGAGAGATGCTAACGTGGGAGGATCACTTGAGTTCAGGAGTTCAAGGCTACAGTGAGCTATGATCGCACTATTGCATTCCAGTTTGGTGACAGAGCAAGACCCTGTCCCTAAAAAATAAAAATAGGCCACATGTGGTGGCTCACACCTGTAATCCCAGCACTTTGGGAGGCCAAGGCAGGTGGATTACCTGAGGTCAGGAGTTTGAGACCACCCTGGTCAACATGGTGAAGCCCTGTCTCTACTAAAAATACAAAAATTAGTCGGGCATGGCGGCACATGTCTGTAATCCCAGCTACTTGGGAGGCTGAGGCAGGAGAACTGCTTGAGCCCAGGAGACAGAGGCTGCTGTGAGCCAAGATGGTGCCACTGCACTCCAGCCTGGCCAACAGAGAGACACTCTGTCTCTAAATAAATAATTGGACAAATGAATATCTTCAAGGCCCCCTCATAACTTGTATTTACTCTAAAATAGCTGCAATTCTAGTTAGAAATACTTATTGAGGCTTATTCTATACAGATGTTGTTCTAAGTGCTTTGTAAAACTATTAACTTGGCCAGGCACAGTGACTGAAGCCTGTAATCCCAGCACTTTGGGAGGCCAAGGTGGGCGGATCACGAGGTTAAGAAATCAAGACCATCCTGGCCAACATGGTGAAACCCTGTCTCTACTAAAAAATACAAAAGTTAGCTGGGCACGGTGGCGTGCACCTGTAGTCCCAGCTACTCAGGAGGCTGAGGCAGGAGAACTGCTTGAACCCAGGAGGCAGAGGTTGCAGTGAGCCGAGATCGCGCCACTGCACTCCAGCCTGGCGCCTGGAGATAGAGTGAGACTCTGTCTCAAAACAAAACTATTAACTCAGTCACTCTTTACAGAAACCCACGACGTGGGGAACATTATGATGTGGGTGTGCTGTGCAGATGAAGAATGAAAGTGTACAGCAGGGAGGCCAAGGGCTCAGGGTCAGGACCAGGCCAGGAGTCCTGGCAGCCAGCCCCATGCTGGTGCTTCCAGCCACTTCCCTCCACAGATTCTCGACATGGACCAGCATGAAGAAGAGATGAGACTCTCTCCGTGCCACCAAACGCTACTGCAGAACTCCTCGGTACATCCGTATCTCCTCAGGAGGGCACACAGGTAATACAATGAACAGAATAAACTCCCTTTGGACTGGCCTGCCTTGGTTTACCAAGCGTGGGTGCTTTGTGCACCGTCAAGCACAATGCATGTGTACGTACTCTCTGTGCCAGTCGTAAATCTGATGGATGTTGCCAAACACAATTTTGTCTTTTCCTTTCATGTCATCAGGAACACCATCTTCTTTCATAAGTGCCATGTAGCCCTACAATTAAACAGTTACAGTAAGTGTATTTCATGGAATATGTCTGAATCAAGGAGTGGCTTATTGATTAATAGTCACAGAGGGCAAAATGGACACTTGCACTATCTTGTAACCGGTTCTTTATCTAAAAACAAAAAACTGGATATGAACAGTATCCTTAACTGATACTTGGAATATACCCATGACATTCATTGCTGTAATGTTCTTTCCCTGGACTGTTTAGCATTCACAGATCGAAAGTATTCTAAGGAATTAAAGAAGTTTAAATAAATGTAAATGGTTTCATTGAAACAGTCTGTAAATATTAAATATTTGGTCAGAATCGTTTCTCCCGTTTTCAGCATTTATCTCACAGAAACAGATTTTCTTTTCTTTTTGGATTATTTATGTAATCTGTTAAATAAGGGTTTAACAATATTCTTTTTATAAATTGATTTTTAAACAACAGTTGATTGAATATGCTGCTAAAATGTGGCTTAAAACTTCTATTTAATTCAGTCTGTACAAGAATCTCCTAAGTACTTAGGTTGCTTATCTCATTGTTAACAATGACTGCAGGCAAATCAAGCATGTTAAATCTTTTTTTGTTACCCGATTAACTGTAATAGCTGGTACTTTTAATGGGATGTGTACCAAAGAGTATTGTCCTGTACTAATTTGCAAAGGTGAAAGAATACACAACAAAATTTAATACTACAAAAATAGCTTTTTGATGAGTTGAGTTTCTTAATCTGACTAATCCCCAAATTGACTGGCAGGGATTAGCCTAGAGATGGCTCTCGATCCAGTACAAAAGGCAGCGGTTTGCTGTGGCTACCATGCTTGGCAACTTCTGGTCAATGGAAATGGCGAAGTATTCTGAACAAAACTATCACTGAATGACCTGGTGCAGCCACAGTCCAAGCTCTGAACCTGGGTGGATTCAGGATGCAACTGAACCCACAGCTGGGCCACGTGCTGACTTTTCCACCAATAAGGTCTTCATTTCTGTAGTGATACCCACTCTTGTGAAATAATTAAGGCAAGATTCCTATCTACTAAGTACAATACACTTACTTAGTATCATTTAATAATAAAAATTTATAATTGTAAATTTTAATTGTTGATACACTAAGCAAAAAAGTATTTACAACTGAATACAGATAAAGATAATTGGCTAAATTTAATTTTTCAGAAATACTTTGTTGGTCACTTTTTATTTTGGGTCAAAAATGTTTTTAAAGCTTTGAGAGGTGTTCAACTGTCTAATGCAATACTACTTTGGAAGACTGTTGGAGCTGATACAAAGTTACTGCATTTCTGAAAATACACACCTCAACCACATAGCCAAGGTCCCGTACATAGTCACGCTCTGTCTCCACTAATTCTTGCAGAACGTAGCTGGAGAGAGAAAAATAGTGTTTATAACGCAAACTGTTTCCTAAATCAATTTTTTTGGTACCTTTGCTCCTGGTCAGGAAGGACTCCTTCTGGGACTGAATAGTCATGTATCAAATTTGTACAATTGGGTCTTAAATTCTGGAGGGTCCCAAATCACTTACAGGTTCAAGTGGGTGACCCATTAGAGCTCCGGAGGTCAAAAGACATTTAGGCACATGTGCATCAGGGCAATCAGGGCAAATTCAACCTTCTGGATTCTGATCACATACAGGGACAACAAAGAAGCTTAGACATAACTTTATGGCAAAGCCATGACAGTAAAGGAAGTGGCTTTTAAAAAAATGATTAAGTCATTTTAACCTTCACTGGATATACAAGAAAAACTTTGAACTTAGAAATCTGTTTAAAGCCTTGGATCTTATTAATCACATCACTCGGAAGTATTTCTGTCTGTAACATTCAGTAACCATTTAAGGCCACTCAGATAACAGAAGACAATAATTTAATCAGTTTAGCAAACAACTTCAATTAGCCTGAAAAGGCTCATTCATGTGCTGTTCAGTCATTCATTCAACCAACATCAACCTGGCACCTCTCATGTGACCAACACCATCGGAGGTGCTGGGATACAGCACTGAATAAAACACCTGGTCTCTGACGTTTTGTAGCTTATGTTTTTTTTTTTTTTTTCTTCTTCTTGAAAGCCAAGTTTAAATCTTTTGTAACATGTTTCAGGACTCTTTTTACCGTATGCTGCTTTACTGAAATTGAGAAACATTACCAGGAAAGTATGTTAAAAAAATATTCAAGTTTTTGGGACTGGTTCTAATTTTACATTACTTTTTCTTTCACAATCACATGTACAATAAAAAGTCTAGGAGTCTCTCATCAGGCATGACAGGAGACATTTTTGTCTTGCATCGTTCTTACTTATGAAGTATAATATACAAATAAAACAAGAAACTGTGGCTATGGCTTACTGTGCCCTTATTAGGTCCTGAGTCTGTTACATACGTACAATTACTCAATGAGAGGCTCTCAAGCTCCTCATCTTGGTAATTTAGAGCTGAATCTCGGTCACATTTTTGAAGGCAACAAAGACAGGAGGGAACTCGGAGAACTTTAAGAATGAAAACATTTCTGTCTTACTGTCTTCTCTTTAAAGAGCTGGATTTCCTTTCTTCCATCTCATCAATGGGTGAGGAAGAAGACAGAAGGGAATTATCCGAAGGGTTGAAGGACGGGCTGCTACTATCTCCCTGATCAACAAGGAGTGAGCTAGGACGATCCTCCAGTGCCTAAAAGAAATTGAGATAATCAACAACACTTACTGCCTATAGCCCTGGACTGGCTGAAACTAAGATAAGAAAATATCCAAAGTCAGAAATACAGAAAGTGTGTTTGTGAAATTATAAAATCTTTATGTTTGTGAAATTATAGTACTTAATAACACAAAAACCCAACTATTATTAAACAATAGTCAAACGAAGTGGATAGAAGAGGAAAGTTGAAATGAAAAAGGATAGTGAATTTATATACATTAACATATTCTACTTCCTGTTATCAAATAAGGGGAAATGTTATACTTGCTTATGTCAGAGTGCTGCAACCATTTTTGGATATATCACATATATTTAATATCTCGAAATTTTTTATTGGTTATATTCCTGCCAAATGAGCCGCTGGGATGCGTGTGGGTCAGGCCAGTGTCGCACCTGGTCATGGTGCCTGTGTTCCTTGTTGGTGGACTATATAGCAGCATCAGCAATCTACAGTTTAAACAAACTTGGTTTGTTTCTTGATTATCCACGAAGCTTTGACTCATACTTCAATGCACACAGATCACCCAGGTAAAATAATCTCCATATAGCAACTTGCATTCTATCCCTCTATACGAAATAGCAATCATGCTGGTCTTAATTACTTCTGCAATACATTCATTTCCCCACTGTCATTTGGTTTCCACAGGCAATTGTTTTTCTTGCTGTACCCCTGCTACGACCTCACGCAAATCTTTGCGAGTGTTCAGCAAACCTGTAAGTTGAATATTGGTGACCTCTCTCCTCGGATTAATGTGACAATGACTGGTGACTGATTGCTTTTTAATTGGTACGTATCAATCTTGTTGCTTTAACTCAATTCACAAAACACCTAAGATTTACAGTTCTTCTAACATTGCCAAAGCACCAAACTGGATATACAGATGTTGTACTGGAGTGAGCATAGAAAGTCAACACCGGCCGGGCATGGTGGCTCACGCCTGTAATCCCAGCACTTTGGGAGGCCGAGGCGGGTGGATCACGAGGTCAAGAGATCAAGACCATACTGGTCAACAAGGTGAAACCCCATCTCTACTAAAAATACAAAAAATTAGCTGGGCATGGTGGCGCGTGCCTATAATCCCAGCTACTCAGGAGGCTGAGGCAGGAGAATTGCCTGAACCCAGGAGGTGGAGGTTGCGGTGAGCCGAGATCACGCCATTGCACTCCAGCCTGGGTAACAAGAGCGAAACTCCGTCTCAAAAAAAAAAAAAAAAAAAAGGAAGTCAACACCAAGACAAAAGTGTGACAAATTGCAGGGTCTTTATTGCCGGCGGCCACGGAACACTCTCGTCTCTCCAACCCGTGGCCCCGAAAGGAGGGTGTCAAGACCTTTTATAGCCATAAACCACCTCGGGGGTGAGGGTGAGGGGCAGAGGTGTGGGTGAGGGGCTTCAGACATTTCGAGGGCCAGTGGATTCTGTAAATCACCTCCTGGGCGGAAATGAGGGGGAGGGGCTCCAGACATTTCGAGGGCCATGGGACTTTGGACATTCCGATTGTTACTTAAGTGGTTCACAGAAGTCAAGATAAGCGTTAGTTTACACATTGTCTGGGTAGGGTGGAAATTACAGACCTTAATTACTTATTACAAGTCGCAGGGGCCAAGATGGCGTGGGTTTGGACTGTTTGCCTGTCACATTAGGGGTTACAGAGAGCAGTTTCAACAGAAAGCCGAGGTATGGTTGAGGTATGCAGTTTTATGGGGCTTTTACCATGTCACATGGATATGACTAAACAGGGGGAAAAATGTAATTAATTCATCCTTGGTTTGAACAGCATAATACAAAATGCAAAAATATCTCACTTAAAACGTTTGATATTAATAAACTAAAATGTCTAATACTTGTTCTATTTTTTCCTCTTAACGGTAACAGACTGAGTCTGATTTCATCGTTAAGCAGAGCTCTGAGGACACAAAGTCTGTACTGTACGTGCAATCTTGTTGAAACCCATGGAGCTATAAAAAACACACCAACTGCTGATCTTATTGTTGAAAAACAGGACATTAAGTTAGTCAAGGAACAGAGTTTGATCTGAAAAATAAGTGCACTCTTTTAAATAAATAGCTATTAAGCTTTAGCAGAAGAACGTTTTGCTGTGGGTAGCAGAGCTTGTTTCACGCTCACCAGGTCATGTTTGTTTTTGACAGTGAGGGGAGGATGTTCTGCCCCCTATCCCCCGCCTGGACAGCTGAAGCTGGTTAGATTAAATTCTGCTCATTTGAACAGTGAGAAAAAAGAAAGAAAAGAAAGAGAAAGGCTCCAGATGCCCCTGATGCTGGAGAGGGCAGACAGGCAAAGTCATGGACTTCATCAGTGTCCACGGGGACCTGTAACAGGTGGAGCGGCTTTCTGGACATGTAACAAAGAAGTCTCCAGGCCCCTTGGCTGCCTGTCCTCAGATCTGGTCTAACCTGACCAAGTCGGGCTGCCTAGAAGCTGCACACACCCTGAAGATGTGCAGTCGTGGTTAGACATCCTTGGCACCTTCACGGGGCCCATTTGTCTCTTCCACAAATGTGAGTGAGAAAGCTGTCACCAGCACAAGGCTGTCTCAAAACCGCCACCACTGGGACTTCACAGATTTTGGATGGATTATTTGTGAAACTCTCTGGGTTTGGTTTTTTGTTTCCTTGTCAACTTCCTCCCTTTCTTATATGAATATAGGTCTACACAGATATGCTGTCTCTTATGAGATTTTTATTTATTTATTTATTGAGACGGAGTCACCTATGCTGGAGTGAAGTGACGCGATCTCGTCTCACTGCAGCTTCTACCTCCTGGGTTCAAGCAATTCTCCTGCCTCAGCCTCCTGAGTAGCTGGGATTACAGGTATATGCCATCACGCCTGGCTAATTTGTGTGTTTTTAGTAGAGACGAAGTTTCACTATCTTAGCCAGGCTGGTCTTGAAGTCCTGACCTTGTGATCTACCCACCTCAGCCTCCAAAAGTGCTGGGATTACAGGTGTGAGCCACTACACATGGTCTAATTTTGATAAATTATATTTTCTTAGAAAACTGCCCATTTCATTCAGGTTTTATTTTAAATTTACTATAAAAGAGTTGAAAATAATGTCTTAACGATTGTTTGAATTTTCTGTTTTTTCCCTCTCTCATAATTTCTTAATTTTGGGAATTTGTGTTTTCTATTTTCTAGACATGTTACCTAATGTCTATATTTAAAAAACAAATTTTTGGTTTTATTATGCTACTGTTTTCCAGCTCATTAATTTCTGCTTTTAACTCTATAAATTCATTCCTTCTGTTTTTCTTTGGTTTGTTGTTTTTCTAACATCTTAAGTTAGATGTTATTTTATTTATTTTCATTCTTTCTTGTATCTCCCTTTGCATTTTGATTAGCAAAGAGAAGAAAATCCCAAAGTCAAGTTCACGCAGTCGCTGTGGCAGTGGGTTACTATTGCCGAAGAGCAGGAAAAATGCACAACCTTTAAAATAACCAGCTGGATGAAGAATGTGGAGGTAAGCCGGACAAGTGAATCCCAGTGAACAGTTTTCAGGGTGGTCTTTATTTTTCAAGCCAAATCCTCATGTTTTAGGTTTCGGTAGGTTCAGTTCCTTAAACATCATACTGTGTAACAGTTGGAACACCTTGTCTCCTCTCCTCTTTAACGCAATAAACATATACACTGCTTCTGATGTATAAAGAATTCAGTGATTCAGTGTTCAAATCCAATTATGAAGGAGCAATAGCCTCAGCCATCACTCACAAGAAAACTCATGTGGATGCCTAAGGACCTACTGCAGAGTCAGGAAGCAGCAGAGGTTGAGGATATTACAATGATGCGCTAGAGTTTTCTCTGACAAAAAGTAGTTCACATTTGACATTAGAGCATTAGTAACAGGAAACCAATGCAGGGTGATGCTTCTCTTGGACCAGAAAAAGTGGGGAGAATCTAGACTGCATTCCCTGGCCTATCGAAGAAGGGATGAATCTAACATCAAGTACAAACATGGCCCTCCCAAGGGAGGGGAAGGCATCACTGAATGCCCATGTGGATGGAACCTGGTTAGGGGCTCCCACGTGTAGGTGAAAGACACAGTTTCCAAGGCTGAAGCACTTGCCTGGTGGAACTCACCGTAAGGAGACTGTGAATCCAAGTCTATCTGACTCCAAAACCTATGCCTTTCCTATGCCAACAGTTTATGACCACTGAAGCGAGCAGAAATAACCCAGTTTCACTGAGTAAACTGACCAAGTTTAATTCCTCAGGACTGAAAAGGGAGATTAAGCCAGTAAGAATCAAAACTGACCACACCACAGACCACCTCTCCATTTGGAAGTCCACGTGAATTAATTACAAATGAGTAACAGACCACATAAAATGCAATACAATTTAAACACTTGCAGAATAGTGGCCAGGTCTGCCTCACAGCATTCCCTGGGAAACCATTTCAACTCTTTGGTAAGAATGATTTTAATGGTCATTTAATTGATGTATATAAATGGCTTTAAGAAAAAAGTTTAAGGATGCTTAACTTAAAAACTCAGTGGATACAATTTAAGCACCTTATCAACTTGTCTTTTAAAGAGATAACAAATAGGTAGCTGAATTCAGTTCATATTGGCATGGTTCCAAGCTCCTTTTCTTTCTTTGGTTTTTATTTTTTGAGATAGGATCTCACTTTGTCATTCAGGCTGGAGTGCATTGGCACAATCTCAGCTCACTGCAGCCTTGACCTGCTGGTCTCAGGTGATCCTCCCGCCTCAGCCTCCCACGTAGCTGGGATTACAGGTGCATGCAACCATAACCAGCTGATTTTTCTATTTTTTGTAGAGATGCAGTCTCGCTGTGTTTCCCAGGCTGGTCTTGAGCTACTGGGCTCAGGCAATCTACCTGCTTTGGCCGCCCAAAGTGCTAGGATTACAGGCATGAACCACTACACCTGGTCTGATTCTAAAATCTTAACCAGTGGAGTCCGAATTTGTGAGTTATTTATCACATCCTAGCAAGCTTCCTGTCTAATTTCAAAGTTCTCTGGGTCTTTTCTGAAACACCATGTGATTACCAGGGGAGAAATTTCTAGCTATGGCAGGGTGACACGTCAGTACAAATTTTTCTTTACATAATTCCCATTTGACTCAGTTAACCAGTTTCATTAGCGGTTGTCTGTGGATAAAAGAAGGAATGGGAATGATACATCAGGTACCTAGTTAATACCCATATGCAGGAAGAGAAACTCTTAACTTCTCTGATTTAGGTATTTCAGTGTTGAAAATTCACCCTACAAATATAATCACAAACATGTAATGGATGTTTAGAGAAATATGGGAATATGTCTCTATAATAAACATTATATTAAAATAAAGTATAATTTATATTATATTAAAATATTAAAATAAATTATAATCAAAATAAATCATAGCATAATCATGTCTCTGATTAGCTTAGTGGCTAGTCAAGTTTTTAAATGTTCTGTGTGCCTCAATTTCCTTGTTTGTCGAATGGGATAATAACAGTACATAACAACACAGAGGGTTGTTGTGGGAAGTATATAAATTAATACATGCCCAGCACTTAGAATAGCGCCTGGCTAAGAGTAAGTTCTCAGTGGTATTTGTAGCATAGAATCCATTTAATGGAAAACCATACAGTTATCAAATAAACGAAGGCGGTAACCTGTGTGTACTGATGTGAGAAGATCCTCAAGATATGTTAATTATTAGAATCTTAAAAATTGAATTAATCCATTTGGAGAGAAAAAGCACGCACATAGATATGTTTGCACCAGCAAGGAAAACGTCTGGAGGAAAATGTATGTGTTCGCAGTGGTTACCTCTGGAGAATGAACTGCTGACAGAGACTGAGAGCTTTTTACTTTGGGAGGAGTTGCTTTTAAAAGATATTGTCTTTCTAGGGATAGCAGGATATACCAGCCGAAAAAGTTGTTACCATTGGTGGTCACTTCCCAGATAGGAAAACTAAAAAAACAGAGATTAACTGATTTGAATCAGTTAGAGGCGACACATGCCTGTCTTACCTCCAAGAATAAACATTTAATTTGGGGCTTTTATCAAATGAACCCATGTTGACCAACTGGCAACAAAGAGATCACTAAGAAAATAAAGCCCTTATGTAATAATGCAACCCCTTCTCTCTTACACATTCTAAACCCAAAGGAAAGCTCTCAGAGGTTGTACAACAAAACCAAGAGTCTAATGTGACCCTGGCACATCTTCAGACAGACTGGAGTTGACCACATTGGCAGTGACTGCAGTCAGGGTGTGTGCATTGAGGTTTGCCTCCAGTTTCTAGAAGGAAACTTATAAGCCCTTGGAATGTTCTGCTTAATGAGAATGTCTGTTTACCTGGGGGTCTGGGACGAAGGCAAACAGTCTATGCTAGCAACGTGACAGTGTCTTACTCTCTGGAGGAGCAGGAGACTACTAAGGTCAGCCACACAGAGTAGACAGCCATATGCATCTGAGCCCAAACAGACACTCAATACCAAGGCTCAGGTGAGCTGCTGTGGTTGGCATCCTCTGTCTGCTGCCTCCATTGGGAGAGGATGGCTGGCAGTTTGAACCTGGCACTCCCCGAGACCTGCCCTATGCAGCTCTTTCCTTGCCTATTTTGATCTGTGTCCTTCCATAGCGATGTACTGCAAATGTGGGAATAATGGCCTTTCTGAGTTCTCTGAGTCCTTCAAATTAGTGAACCCGAGGTGGTCATGGGGACTCCCAAACTTGCTGTTCAGAAGTGAGGGTGACCTTATGGACTCCTGAGATGTGCAGTAAGCCACAGCCACCTTCTGCAGCCCAGCGCGATACACGGACAAGGGCAAATCCATCCGCAGGTAGCAACACAGAGCAGTTTCCAAAGGTCAGACTTTCTCTGGGAGGCCTTACCATCTTGCTTTTCACAAGTTCCTCAATTGCACTGACGAGCTCGGCCGCACTCGGTGTTTCGGAGCTGGTGGGGCGGACTAATAACCGAGAAGAGGCCTACGGAAGAAATTAAGAAAAGGGGGAGGGGGAAGGTCTCACATTAGTAACGGGTCAGACAGTAAATCCCCCTGCAAGCTTCATCTCTTTTTAAAGTAATTCCAGACAGAAAGACCACAAGTTTGTCTTTGTTTGCATTTATTTTAAGTCATCTTTTTGAATTTACAATATTCTGACAAGAAACATTAAATAAAACCTGTCTGAGATACATGTGGAAAGCAGACAGTGTCTGATTTGAATCGCAGTCATGTAACATCGTAGTGCTTTTTTTTTTTTTTTTTTCTAAGAGGTGACTGGGCAGGGGAACATTCTAACTGTAACTTTCACAACTGCTGGTAAGGCTCTAGGCTAGGGAGAAGGAATAGAGAATCTGACGTACGGCAAAATGAGAGGCTTAGGTCTAGAGAGATAATCCGGGAATAATCAGGAAACAAAACTGGACACTAAAAATGGCTTTACTGTGTTTATGGGACTAAGAAAAAAAAGAAACGAGGAAGAGGAAAGGAGCGGGGTGCGGTGACCAGAGAGGGAAGGAGGGGGACGAGCTCACCATTTTCTGTGCCATCCATTTCCCCATGATTAGTGCAGAGTACAGAAGAGCTGAGGCCTCACAAGCTATCAGATGCCACTTATGGCTAGAATCGAGGGCATAAAGGGGTTGACAGGAAATCTGGGGGAGGGGCTACTAAGTTCGAGTTTCAGTAATTGGCAAACACCATGTGTTTGCAGATTACTTAAGCCGTTAATTAATTGGAAACTAGAAGGGGCATAATATGAACCTTGCTTCATATTAAGGACAGCAGCGAGGCATGCGACCCACAGCAGGCTGTCCTGGCCATGCGTGTCTCACAGCAGACAGACACAGGCTCATACACTCACAACAAGGCTTTTACACGTGTGGGTCAAAGTTATGCACTTTGCAAAACAAATGTTGGTTTGGTCTAATGACGTTTGGAATATGGGGTGAAGAAAACAAAGAAAAAATTCAAACGGAAAGGTAAGGAAATTGAGCCAAAACAGACATAGAACACAAATCAACATAATGCTGCAGTGAAAGTTTACAAAAAGAGAAAACAGAACAAAACAAAAAATTAGTCACAAGATTATATACTGTGTGGGAACATCACTACAGATTTTTGTAAATGAAGAACTGCTACTGATAATAGTCAATGAGGTAACATAGTAACCAATAAATGATTCTAGCAAACAGAAGAATACAGTGCAGATCACTCTTTAAATAGAGAAAAATGCTCCCTTATTTGGTGAATAAGTCAACAAGGACCAGCCCCTCAATGTTTGGATAACCACCCAGATTTAAGAAATGGCAGTTTTCTGTTTTTCAAAAAGGTATGGCTTAGTGTATTACATAACAGTGCAGGAAATGCCACAGAAACCACAAAGCCCCATGTCCTGGCCAGTTACTGAGTCCATGTACTAGGTGGGGAGGGGGGCTGTGGTCCTCTCTCACCTCAGGCTCCCCATTCCTTCTCCCCCACATGCAGTGGGAGCCTGAAGCTCAGATGCACACAAAACTCCAGGACTCAAACCTGTGCGCAGTGCTGCAGCTCACAGCCATTGGTGCAGGCCTCACAGCACCCTTACAGTGTGTGGACCTCGTGTTAAAAAGGGAGGAGGGAGGCTGAGGCGGGTGGATTACGAGGTCAGGAGATCCAGACAATGCTGGCCAACACAGTGAAACCCCAACTCTACTAAAAATTCAAAAAATTAGCTGGGCATGGTGACGCATGCCTGTAATCCCAGCTACTCAGGAGGCTGAGGCAGGGAAATCACTTGAACCCAGGAGGCGGAGGTTGCAGTGAGCCCAGATGGCGCCACTGCACTCTAGCCTGGGTGACAGGGTGAGACTCCATCTCAAAAAAAAAAAAAAAAAGGTTGGGGGGAGGAGGGAGTAGCTTTCTACCAACAAGGGGCGGTGGACACGTATGCCTTGGGTTAGGAGGAGCGCATAATTTGACTTGGCCTCACAGCTGCCAAGCACTGGCTGTAGCCGATCCCAGGTCGTAAAATAGGGGATGATTAATCCAGCAAGTGACTGTACAACTACTGACAAGGGAGTTAGGGAAGGAAAAAAGAAAGCATGGGGAAAAATGTTGATAGTATTATCTGTTTTATTAAAAAAACTTAAGTTACTGCCAAAAAAAAAAAAGGCGTCACCAGTAATGACTTCATAGCATGATTTCAACACCTCACAATTCTGAGGGCCACAACAGGGCCAGAATGCTGGAGGATGTGCAAGCCACATTGAGCAGGTTTCCTTTCTGCTATTTTATTTTTTAGGGTTCTACAATTGGGCTGACAAAATACTTTTAGATTACGTGAGAACTCAAGAAAACAAATGACTTTCTTGGCTTGAAGCCACCACGCAGACTCAGAGAGCTTTCAGCTGATTCCCACACTTTGACAACTACGCCTGCACTCCAGTGTAGGGATCCTACAAACTCACCTCTGGCATGTTGGAAAAAGCATTGGACAGTGATGTAACCTCATCTTAAACCAGAAACCTGCATGCAAAAACCTCACAGAGAGGAATGGCCAACTCTTCATTTACTGATGCCTTCAGGCAGACCTGCGTGGGACATCTCTGATTGTTCTTTCAGAGAGTCTAGTCAATACATTAGGCAACTTTAAAATTACTTTAAAAGCAGCAATTACTGAGCATCATTAAAAATGCATTGAGCCAGGTACATAGGAGAAACTGCACCCGCTGGCCTGCTACTATTATAAATGGCTTTTTACGCATACTTTTGGGTTGCAACCGGGCAACCGGGCTGACACTGCCTGGAAGAACACTGCATTGCCCTTTTCCACACCTTGGAGCCTCCTGTCTCCTGAAACAAGGCTGGTGTGGAACAGCTACTGAGAATGCCTTGCTCTGGCACGGGAGGCATGGATCCCCCAGCCCTCATCCCCCTTTACCTTGTCATCCTGTGAGTCCGGCTGGAGGAGGCTGTGCTGCTGGATGGCCATGGGTGGCGGCAGGGGCACGGCATCGGCCCCCTCCTCGCCTTCCTCTTCTCCACAGCTCTGCATCCCCGAGGAGGAGGATTTGGAGAGGGTCCCGCTGCTCAGGCCCTCGTTCCGGCCTCTCTGAAATCCAATTGAGATTTGCTCATTATATTCCAGGCCAGTTCACAAACATGGAGTCCAAGGGTTACTTGGAAAAGCAAAGTGGGGACAGAGACTGGGAAGGCAGAAATCAGGAGCAAAGCTCTTCTCGACCTTGACGGCAACTTTTCCTTCTCTTCCTGCAACCCAACAGCCTTGCTTGTCAACTTGGATGACAGAAGGGCCACTGAATGCGTCATATAAAGGGACTGCCAATGTGATCTGTTAGGCTCTGAACACATCTCATTTTTGAGAAGCCAATTTTTGAAAAGTTTAAAAACTTTGAGCTACAACCCTCATGTTGATTTAGTTCCTTTGGT